AATGAGAGTTTTATTTAATTCCTGGATCTTTTTAAGTCTTGACATTTTAGCCAACAACCTCTGGTTGGAAAACCCCAAGATCACATTTCTTAATAATATGTCCAGAGTTTTCACCAAAACGAAGCTGAAAACATCCATTATCTGATCACCGTTGTCCCTCGTGGGGTCGGGAGGAGCTGCTGCCTCTCCAGTTGCGTTCCGGGGGGTCACTGGGACAGGTCAGGGTCACCTGGACAGGTCGCCAGTCTGTCGCAGGGCAAAAGCTGAAGACATAATAATTTATTATTATGACTAATTTTAATGTAGCAAAAAAAAATTTTTTTTCATTAAAATTAGAAGGGTTTTTTTCCAGAAATGACCTGAAGAATTTAAAATGAGCCACAGTTTCAACAAGTTGGCTGCAGTTTAACTGGAACCACTTTCAGGTTTTGTTTATGTCATTTAATTAGCTCTACTTCCTAAAGGAAAGAAGAACGGATGGTGTTTTGTGAGGGACTTTATGTTAATAAAGAATAAATATTAAATCATAAAGACTTTGTGCGATTCTGATTTAGTAATGAAATTACATTAGTTGTGCTACCACCCCACGCCACTAGAGGCAGTATCAGGTCTGAATAGATGCAACTGAGGAGCAGATTTAGAAGAACACAGGAAGCTACAGAATCTGTTAAAACTGTGAGCTGCACTGAATCAAAGAGAAGATCAAATACCTGCTGAGAGAGAAAATGCTTCCTAAAGGCGAAAATATATCACATTTCAAAATAAAATACAAACGCGAGACTGTGGATAATATAGGAAATAGCGCCCCCTTCCCTTCCGGAGTGCAATGGGCTCTTTGCACCTGAGCTTCCGCGTCGGGAAAAACGGCTCAAATGTTTCCGATCTATTGAAAACGGTAGTTTACTTTACCGGGTATCTGGAGGGCTTTTCCAAGGTAACAGTTAATAATGTACATCGATCTGAAGCCCCAACAAGTAAGCTGGAGAAAGGTTTTAAGATGTTCGCCTCGTTATACATTCACAGATATGAAGGTGAGTTTTACTTTCTTTAAACTTTGTGGCTAACATTGGCTTTAGCTTGTGCTAGCAGGCAATATTCTGGACATTTTTCTTGTAAAAAAATCTGCTATTTAATTATCTAAACATTTCTCAGCCATTCTAACGGACAATGTTTGTGCCTTATTTTCAAGCATATTACGTGTGTTTATTGTTAAGGACAATAAACGCGGGTTTGATTACGGTTCAGGCTTTTTGCTTCCGAAACCTGACGAAGAACAACGAGCCCAGAGTTAGAGTCTCCAGCAGAGCAGCTCTGGTATCTTAGTTCTAGTTCAACTGACTGTTCAGGTTTAGAGTTATTACTTTTAGAAAAATATGGCCGTTCTGCTTAAGGTTTCTGTTATTTCGTTTCATTACTTTTGCATGCTTGTTGTGAAGAGCTCATTAGGACGGTGTTTATAGCGGTGTTATGCTGATCAGTGGCTCGGCTGTCCAGCTCTGCTCTCTCGTTCCCAAACACTCGCTCTTTCAGGCTGAATACAGAAGCGATTCAATGGAAATAACACAGGACGGCTCCTTTACCTTCGTCTTTAGGAAGAAAAAGCTGATCCGGAGTGAAGTGAAGGCTGCAAACTTTGTTGTGCGACGTTAGCTTTAACTTGTAGCTTTAACTGGCAGCAACAAATATTTACAAGCCGTCTTAATTGAGGATCGCTTGGAAATCCATGAAAACTTAAACAAAGTACGTAGTATTGTTTTATTTGTGCCTTAAGTACGACTTTGTCTTTTATAGCAGTCATAGTAACTGAAAGCGGAAAAAAGAGAGCCGCATTTGAGCATGCAGTTGTGACGTCAGCGCGGCAGGTGCAAAGAGTTCCATTTCCATATAAAATAGGAGTCTGTCGCCGCCTGGCGGCCGCAGAGCAGGGTCCCAGGGAAATCCCGGAGATCAGAGACGGTACCGAAGGCATCTTGCAAAAAGCTTCACTTGTTGCTAGGAAACCGAACCTCTGCGTTACTTTTCTTACCAGCTTCCGGTGTAACTGTTGACACAAAGGCAGCTTAACGGCAACAAAAGAGCGAGGAGAAGTTGGAGCTAAAATGTTTGGTGTTGCTCGCAGCCCGTTTTCTAGAAGCACACGGTATGGCGGAGATGTTAGGAAGTGATTAATTTCATGCTAACATGTTATTGTTGAAGCAGCAACTTAACGGCTGCTCACGGTGTTTAGCTTCTCACGGTGAAACCGGCGATTATCGGCACGATTCCGATTCCAAGTTACAATATTGATCCCAGAGACATTGAATATTCATCCTCAGTGTTGTGGCGACTTCATTCTGCTGCCAATGATTCTATTGTCATGTCCAGCTGTTTCTGAGAGCAGAAGAAGAGACTTGGAGCCCCGGATGTTTCACTTCCTGCTGCGATGCAGAGTTCAGTCTGACAAGAAGAAGAAGAAGAAGAGGTTGATGTGGAGGAGCATCTCCTGGCTGTGACAGCAAAATGAAGCTGCTTCAGCTGCTCTGCTTCCTCCAGCTGAGCTGGCTCTGTCCAGGTAAAGCTCACATCACCTGCTGAGAGGAGGCAGCAGGACTGCAGCTGCTATCTGCAACATCCACATCTTACTTTGAGCTTCTGTTTTTCAGGCTCAAATTTCCTCCCAATATCTTATTTCTGTCCAGGTTTGGTGGAGAGAACGAAAATAAAGATATTTATCTGATAGTTTCCCTCCGACCACAAACTGAACCCTGAAGCTCAGCGTGTTGCTCCTGATTGAAATGTTCTGGGTGTTTCTGGAGCTCATGCTGCTCTGAAATGAAAAACAAATCTCCCTTTTATTGTTTCAGTTCTTCTTGATGTTTTCACTCCAGACCCTCTGACAACAGAGACGCCTGAAGAGTTTGACTGTGAGTAAAACTTTGGAGGGCAGCTTTTCCACCGGACGTCTGCTGCCCTGGTTCCAGTGGCTGATGTCAGTCATGTGAATCATCTGAATCATGTGAATCATCTGAATCACGTGAATCATGTAAATCACATAAATCATCTGAATCATCTGAATCATGTGAATCAGGTGAATCACATGAATCATGTGAATCATCTGAATCATGTGAATCAGGTGAAGCATCTCAGTCATGTGAATCATGTGAAGCATGTGAATCAGGTGGATCATCTGAATCATGTGAATCAGGTGGATCGTGTGAATCATGTGAATCATGTCAGTTATGTGAATCATGTAAATCACATGAATCATATGAATCATGTGAATAATGTGAATCATCTGAATCATGGGAATCATGGGAATCAGGTGAATCGTGTGAATCAGGTGAATAATGTGAATTAGGTGAATCATGTGAATTAGGTGAGTCATGTGAATCATCTAAATCATGTGAATCATTTGAATCATGTGAATCGTGAATCATCAGAATCATGTGAATCAGTTGAATCACATGAATCATGTGAATCATCTCAATCATGTGAATCAGGTGAATCGTGTGAATCAGGTGAATTGTGAATCAGGTGAATCGTGTGAATCATGTGAATCAGGTGAATCGTGTGAATCAGGTGAATAATGTGAATCAGGTGAATCATGTGAATCAGGTGAATCGTGTGAATCAGGTGAATAATGTGAATCAGGTGAATCGTGTGAATCATGTGAATCTGGTGAATAATGTGAATCATGTCAGTCATGTGAATCATCTGAATCATGTGAATCATTTGAATCATGTGAATCAGGTGAATCATCTGAATCATGTGAATCGTGTGAATCAGGTGAATAATGTGAATCATGTAAATTAGGTGAGTCATGTGAATCATCTAAATCATGTGAATCATCTGAATCATGTGAATCGTGAATCATCAGAATCATGTGAATCAGGTGAATCATCTGAATCATGTGAATCACATGAATCATGTGAATCACATGAATCATGTGAATCAGGTGAATCACATGAATCATGTGAATCACATGAATCATGTGAATCATCTGAATCATGTGAATCGTGTGAATCAGGTGAATAATGTGAATCAGGTGAATCATGTGAATCATGTGAATCAGGTGAATAATGTGAATCAGGTGAATCGTGTGAATCAGGTGAATAATGTGAATCAGGTGAATAATGTGAATCAGGTGAATCGTGTGAATCATGTGAAACTGGTGAATAATGTGAATCATGTGAATCATCTGAATCATGTGAATCATCTGAATCATATGAATCATGTCAGTCATGTGAATTATGTGAATCATCTGAATCAGGTGAGTCATGTGAATCAGGTGAATCATCTGAATCATGTGAATCAGGTGAGTCATGTGAATCAGGTGAATCGTCAATCATGTGAATCATGTGAATCATGTGAATCATCTGAATCATGTGAATCAGGTGAATCATCTGAATCATGTGAATCATCTGAATCAGGTGAATCATGTGAATCATCTTAACCATGTGAATCAGGTGAATCGTGTGAATCAGGTGAATCGTGTGAATCATGTCAGTTATGTGAATCAGGTAAATCACATGAATCATATGAATCATGTGAATCATTTGAATCAGGTGAATCACGTGAATCAGGTGAATAATGTAAATCATGTGAATTAGGTGAGTCATGTGAATCATCTAAATCATGTGAATCAGGTGAATCATGTGAATTAGGTGAGTCATGTGAATCATCTAAATCATGTGAATCAGGTGAATCATGTGAATCAGGTGAATCATCTGAATCAGGTGAGTCATGTGAATCAGGTGAATCGTCAATCATGTGAATCATGTGAATCAGGTGAATCATCTGAATCATGTGAATCATCTGAATCAGGTGAATCATGTGAATCATCTGAATCATGTGAATCAGGTGAATCGTGTGAATCATGTAAATCACATGAATCATATGAATCATGTGAATAATGTGAATCATTTGAATCAGGTGAATCACGTGAATAATGTGAATTAGGTGAGTCATGTGAATCATCTAAATCATGTGAATCAGGTGAATCATGTGAATTAGGTGAGTCATGTGAATCATCTAAATCATGTGAATCATGTGAATCAGGTGAGTCATGTGAATCAGGTGAATAATGTGAATCATGTGAATCATGTGAATCAGGTGAGTCATGTGAATCATCTGAATCAGGTGAATCATGTGAATCATCTGAATCTGGTGAGTCATGTGAATCAGGTGAGTCATGTGAATCAGGTGAGTCATGTGAATCATCTAAATCATGTGAATCAGGTGAATCATGTGAATTAGGTGAGTCATGTGAATCATCTAAATCATGTGAATCAGGTGAATCATGTGAATCAGGTGAGTCATGTGAATCAGGTGAATAATGTGAATCATGTGAATCAGGTGAATCATGTGAATCAGGTGAGTCATGTGAATCATCTGAATCAGGTGAATCATGTGAATCATCTGAATCTGGTGAGTCATGTGAATCAGGTGAGTCATGTGAATCATCTGAATCAGGTGAATCATGTGAATCATCTGAATCTGGTGAGTCATGTGAATCAGGTGAGTCATGTGAATCAGGTGAATCATGTGAATCAGGTGAGTCATGTGAATCATCTGAATCAGGTGAATCATGTGAATCATCTGAATCTGGTGAGTCATGTGAATCAGGTGAGTCATGTGAATAATCTAAATCAGGTGAATCATGTGAATCAGGTGAGTCATGTAAATCACATGAATCATGTGAATCATGTGAATAATGTGAATCATTTGAATCAGGTGAATCACGTGAATAATGTGAATTAGGTGAGTCATGTGAATCATCTAAATCATGTGAATCAGGTGAATCATGTGAATTAGGTGAGTCATGTGAATCATCTAAATCATGTGAATCAGGTGAATCATGTGAATCAGGTGAGTCATGTGAATCAGGTGAATAATGTGAATCATGTGAATCAGGTGAATCATGTGAATCAGGTGAGTCATGTGAATCATCTGAATCATGTGAATCATGTGAATCTGGTGAGTCATGTGAATCAGGTGAGTCATGTGAATCAGGTGAATCATGTGAATCAGGTGAGTCATGTGAATCATCTAAATCATGTGAATCAGGTGAATCATGTGAATTAGGTGAGTCATGTGAATCATCTAAATCATGTGAATCAGGTGAATCATGTGAATCAGGTGAGTCATGTGAATCAGGTGAATAATGTGAATCATGTGAATCAGGTGAATCATGTGAATCAGGTGAGTCATGTGAATCATCTGAATCAGGTGAATCATGTGAATCATCTGAATCTGGTGAGTCATGTGAATCAGGTGAGTCATGTGAATCATCTGAATCAGGTGAATCATGTGAATCATCTGAATCTGGTGAGTCATGTGAATCAGGTGAGTCATGTGAATCAGGTGAATCATGTGAATCAGGTGAGTCATGTGAATCATCTGAATCAGGTGAATCATGTGAATCATCTGAATCTGGTGAGTCATGTGAATCAGGTGAGTCATGTGAATCATCTGAATCAGGTGAATCATGTGAATCATCTGAATCTGGTGAGTCATGTGAATCAGGTGAGTCATGTGAATCAGGTGAATCATCTGAATCATGTGAATCAACTGAATCAGGTGCGTCATGTGAATCAGGTGAGTCATGTGAATCAGGTGCGTCATGTTAATCAGGTGAGTCATGTGAATCAGGTGAGTCATGTGAATCAGGTGAGTCATGTGAATCAGGTGAATCAGGTGAGTCATGTTAATCAGGTGAGTCATGTGAATCATCTGAATCATGTGAATCAGGTGAATCAGGTGAGTCATGTGAATCATCTGAATCATGTGAATCGTGAATCATGTGAATGACGTGAATCGTGTGAATCATGTGAATCTGGTGAATCATGTCAGTCATCTGAATCATGTGAATCATGTCACTCATGTGAATCATGTGAATCCTGTGAATCATCTGAATCATATGAATCATGTGAATCATGTGAATCATCTGAATCGTGTGAATCATGTGAATCATCTGAATCATGTGAATCAGGTGAATCATCTTAATCAGGTGAATCATCTGAATCATGTGAATCGGGTGAGTCATGTGAATCAGGTGAATCGTCAATCATGTGAATCATGTGAATCATCTGAATCATGTTAATCAGGTGAATCATCTGAATCATGTGAATCATCTTAACCATGTGAATCAGGTGAGTTATGTGAATCAGGTGAATCATGTGAATCAGGTGAGTCATGTGAATCAGGTGAATCATGTGAATCAGTTGAATAATGTGAGTCATGTGAATCAGGTGAGTGATGTGAATCAGGTGAATCATCTGAATCAGGTGAATCATGTCAGTCATGTGAATCATGTCACTCATGTGAATCATCTGAATCATGTGAATCAGGTGAATCATCTTAATCAGGTGAATCATCTGAATCATGTGAATCGGGTGAGTCATGTGAATCAGGTGAATCGTCAATCATGTGAATCATGTGAATCATCTGAATCATGTTAATCATGTGAATCAGGTGAATCATCTGAATCATGTGAATCATCTTAACCATGTGAATCAGGTGAGTTATGTGAATCAGGTGAATCATGTGAATCAGGTGAATCATGTGAATCAGGTGAGTCATGTGAATCAGGTGAATCATGTGAATCAGTTGAATAATGTGAGTCATGTGAATCAGGTGAGTGATGTGAATCAGGTGAATCATGTGAATCATCTGAATCAGGTGAATCATGTGAATCAGGTGAGTCATGTGAATCATGTGAATCACATGAATCATGTGAATCTGGTGAATAATGTGAATCAGGTGAATCATGTCAGTCATGTGAATCATGTCACTCATGTGAATCATCTGAATCATGTGAATCCTGTGAATCATCTGAATCATGTGAATCATCTGAATCATGTGAATCGTGAATCATCTGAATCATTTGAATCATGTGAATCATCTGAATCATGTGAGTCATGTGAATCATCTGAATCATGTGAATCATCTGAATCAGGTGAATCAGGTGAATCATGTGAATCATGTGAGTCATGTGAATCAGGTGAATCATGTGAATCAGGTGAGTCATGTAAATCACATGAATCATGTGAATCATGTGAATAATGTGAATCATTTGAATCAGGTGAATCACGTGAATAATGTGAATTAGGTGAGTCATGTGAATCATCTAAATCATGTGAATCAGGTGAATCATGTGAATTAGGTGAGTCATGTGAATCATCTAAATCATGTGAATCAGGTGAATCATGTGAATCAGGTGAGTCATGTGAATCAGGTGAATAATGTGAATCATGTGAATCAGGTGAGTCATGTGAATCAGGTGAGTCATGTGAATCAGGTGAATCATGTGAATCAGGTGAGTCATGTGAATCATCTAAATCATGTGAATCAGGTGAATCATGTGAATTAGGTGAGTCATGTGAATCAGGTGAATCATGTGAATCATCTGAATCTGGTGAGTCATCTGAATCATGTGAATCATCTGAATCAGGTGAATCAGGTGAATCATGTGAATCAGGTGAATCATGTGAGTCATGTGAATCAGGTGAATCATGTGAATCAGGTGAGTCATGTAAATCACATGAATCATGTGAATCATGTGAATAATGTGAATCATTTGAATCAGGTGAATCACGTGAATAATGTGAATTAGGTGAGTCATGTGAATCATCTAAATCATGTGAATCAGGTGAATCATGTGAATTAGGTGAGTCATGTGAATCATCTAAATCATGTGAATCAGGTGAATCATGTGAATCAGGTGAGTCATGTGAATCAGGTGAATAATGTGAATCATGTGAATCAGGTGAGTCATGTGAATCAGGTGAGTCATGTGAATCAGGTGAATCATGTGAATCAGGTGAGTCATGTGAATCATCTAAATCATGTGAATCAGGTGAATCATGTGAATTAGGTGAGTCATGTGAATCATGTGAATCATCTGAATCTGGTGAGTCATGTGAATCAGGTGAGTCATGTGAATCAGGTGAATCATGTGAATCAGGTGAGTCATGTGAATCATCTAAATCATGTGAATCAGGTGAATCATGTGAATTAGGTGAGTCATGTGAATCATCTAAATCATGTGAATCAGGTGAATCATGTGAATCAGGTGAGTCATGTGAATCAGGTGAATAATGTGAATCATGTGAATCATGTGAATCAGGTGAGTCATGTGAATCATCTGAATCAGGTGAATCATGTGAATCATCTGAATCTGGTGAGTCATGTGAATCAGGTGAGTCATGTGAATCATCTGAATCAGGTGAATCATGTGAATCATCTGAATCTGGTGAGTCATGTGAATCAGGTGAGTCATGTGAATCAGGTGAATCATGTGAATCAGGTGAGTCATGTGAATCATCTGAATCAGGTGAATCATGTGAATCATCTGAATCTGGTGAGTCATGTGAATCAGGTGAGTCATGTGAATCATCTGAATCAGGTGAATCATGTGAATCATCTGAATCTGGTGAGTCATGTGAATCAGGTGAGTCATGTGAATCAGGTGAATCATCTGAATCATGTGAATCAACTGAATCAGGTGCGTCATGTGAATCAGGTGAGTCATGTGAATCAGGTGCGTCATGTTAATCAGGTGAGTCATGTGAATCAGGTGAGTCATGTGAATCAGGTGAGTCATGTGAATCAGGTGAGTCATGTGAATCAGGTGAATCAGGTGAGTCATGTTAATCAGGTGAGTCATGTGAATCATCTGAATCATGTGAATCAGGTGAGTCATGTGAATCATCTGAATCATGTGAATCAGGTGAATCGTGAATCATGTGAATGACGTGAATCGTGTGAATCATGTGAATCTGGTGAATTATGTGAATCTGGTGAATCATGTCAGTCATCTGAATCATGTGAATCATGTCACTCATGTGAATCATGTGAATCCTGTGAATCATCTGAATCATATGAATCATGTGAATCATGTGAATCATGTGAATCATCTGAATCATGTGAATCAGGTGAATCATCTTAATCAGGTGAATCATCTGAATCATGTGAATCGGGTGAGTCATGTGAATCAGGTGAATCGTCAATCATGTGAATCATGTGAATCATCTGAATCATGTTAATCATGTGAATCAGGTGAATCATCTGAATCATGTGAATCATCTTAACCATGTGAATCAGGTGAGTTATGTGAATCAGGTGAATCATGTGAATCAGGTGAATCATGTGAATCAGGTGAGTCATGTGAATCAGGTGAATCATGTGAATCAGTTGAATAATGTGAGTCATGTGAATCAGGTGAGTGATGTGAATCAGGTGAATCATGTGAATCATCTGAATCAGGTGAATCATGTCAGTCATGTGAATCATGTCACTCATGTGAATCATCTGAATCATGTGAATCAGGTGAATCATCTTAATCAGGTGAATCATCTGAATCATGTGAATCGGTGAGTCATGTGAATCATCAATCATGTGAATCATGTGAATCATCTGAATCATGTGAATCATGTGAATCAGGTGAATCATCTGAATCATGTGAATCATCTAATCATGTGAATCAGGTGATCATGTGAATCATGAATCATGTGAATCAGGTGAATCATGTGAATCATGAATCATGTGAATCTGAATCATGTGAATCAGGTGTCATGTGAATCATGTGGGTGATCATGTGAATCTGGTGAATAATGTGAATCAGGTGAATCATGTCAGTCATGTGAATCATGTCACTCATGTGAATCATCTGAATCATGTGAATCCTGTGAATCATCTGAATCATGTGAATCATCTGAATCATGTGAATCATGTGAATCATCTGAATCATGTGAGTCATGTGAATCATCTGAATCATGTGAATCATCTGAATCAGGTGAATCAGGTGAATCATGTGAATCAGGTGAATCATGTGAGTCATGTGAATCAGGTGAATCATGTGAATCAGGTGAGTCATGTGAATCATCTGAATCATGTGAATCATCTGAATCAGGTGAATCAGGTGAATCATGTGAATCAGGTGAATCATGTGAATCAGGTGAGTCATGTGAATCAGGTGAGTCATGTGAATCAGGTGAATCGCGTGATTCACAGGAGGTCACTGACTGCATGAGCCGAATATGGAGGACATGGATGAGCTCACGGAGTGCAAAACACTTTACATCAACTTCAGTGTTACTCCGTCATCCCTACTTATTGGTCAAGGGTTTAGAAAATGGATGGAAGGAAAGAAAGAAGCAATTTCCCCGGGGATCAATAAAGTATATCTCATCTGTCTTCTGTCATGTAGCTACATGTCCTAGCTAACAGTTGTAATGTACTTATGTCAGAACTAGGTGAGAGCTCATTCTCAGCTTGTGGCATGTTTATTGTCATTGTAGCAACTCTGTAGCAACTGCCTACCAAGATGGCTGTCTGTTACAAAGTTCCCAGAAGTTATACGTTTTAAAATCCTTCAGGCTGCTGCAGATTCTGCTCCACATTTGCTCCTCAGTGGTTGATGGTTGAGTATTTTCTCAGTTTTCATCCTGCTCCTCATCCTCTGCTCTGTGACCCTCTGTGCCCTTCAGATAAGCCTTACGTTCATCACCTTGGCAGCACATGCAGGTGGACTTTCAGGATGTCTGGAGGCCGCAGGGGGAAGCCAGTTCCACTCCCACCTGAGTATTTAGACAGTCTGACTAAGCAGATCTGCCAGCAACTTGAATGTGGAACAGTTCATACTGTGAAGAAAACCACGGCACCTGCCAAAAGCAAGTGCTTCCAGGACTGTTTGCTCCGGGACTGGCGTCTGCAGAACTGCTTACAGATGTTGACGGCAGGATGCATCGTGGCCACGGAAGTGATCTGTGGTGAGACTGTCCTGATTCTGCAAGAACATCATAAATTTGTGTTTGAAATGATTTTAAAATGAGGAGGATTGAGTGGTGAGATAGCAGCTCTAACTTTAGAGCTCCTCAACTGTTTCAACAGCATCAACACGGTTTCAATTCAGACTAAATAAGAAACAAAGCCACCAGGGCCTGAAGAGCACGGTGGGGGAGGTATGATGATTTGGGCCTGTTTAGTCTGCAGTCATTGAGTCTAAGTTGAAGAATTCAGAGCAGATTAAGTTCGATAAGACAGAGGAAACCTGGACGGTCCCGGCACCTTTAAAAACCGTCTGCAGCTACAGACGTGAAGGTTGTGAAGGGAAAGCGCATGACGGAGTGTTTGAAGGTGGAGCAGTGCTTTCTGCAGCCATGAGCCTCTGGAACCACCTGCTAACAATGAAACTTCCTGTGTTAACATCCTGGTCATTTTGTCTTCAGGTCATCACTCTGTCCGGCTGAAGGGACATGGGGACCAGTGTGCTGGGCGGGTGGAGGTATGGAAGGACGGGACGTGGGGCACGGTGTGTGACGACAGATTTGACCTGAGAGAAGCCAACGTGGTTTGCTCCCAGCTGGGCTGTGGCGGCGCTCTCAGGGTAACCGGTCAGAACGGATTGTTCCCTCCAGGGAGCGGACCGATCCACCTGGACGAGCTGAACTGCACCGGGAACGAGCAGAACCTGTGGTTCTGTCCGGGTGTCCAGGAAAAGTCTGACTGCGGACACAAAGAGGATGCTGGTGTGGTGTGTTCAGGTCAGTTTCCATCAAACATCTGGTCTGTTCCTGCTAATGTCCACGTTTTGCACAAGCTGCTCTTCTAGATGCTTTTTGTAGAGCCCTGCTTAGGTCATCTTCACACTGCACCCGGAAGTGACCCACATCCGAGTTTTTACATTGTTTTACCTCAATGCGACCTCTTCCTGATCTTTTCATGACAGATCAGATGTTTTCCAGTGTGACGCAGGCCACTTGGATATGTGGTTCTGGATCGATACATATCGGATCTGTTCAAACGTTAGCCGTCTGTACCGGTTAGCCGTCTGTACGGGTTAGCCGTCTGTACGGGTTAGCCGTCTGTACGGGTTAGCCGTCTGTACGGGTTAGCCGTCTGTACGGGTTAGCCGTCTGTACGGGTTAGCCGTCTGTACCGGTTAGCCGTCTGTACGGGTTAGCCGTCTATACCGGTTAGCCGTCTATACCGGTTAGCCGTCTGTACCGGTTAGCCCTCTGTACCGGTTAGCCGTCTGTACGGGTTAGCCGTCTGTACGGGTTAGCCGTCGGGTTGGACGTCGAACGTGGACGTGAAGGCGTCCGACCCGAACGTCTTTGATACTCGCCAAAGTCACTATTCTGCTTCCTGATACGCGCAAGCGGGAAAAAGGAAACGACCGCCGTAACCAGGTCCAGTTGTTGATGTGCCGCTCTGGTCGGACATCAGCCTCAGCACCGTAAGAGACGCTCCGCCGTTGGCGTCTGTGTACTTCCACAAACACTGAGCATGTCTTCTTTATGGCGGTTGGCAGAACACAGCTCTCTATTATTGCGCCCTCTACTGCGCATGCGGGGCACTTTCAGGGCGTTTGCAGATCATACAGGTCGCTTCTCTTTGGGAATGTGAACGGACACAAAGATTGAGCCTGCAGGGAGAATGTCGCCTTATTTCACTTTCTGTTTCTTTGAAGTAAAAAAGAATCAGAACTTTGAAGAAAATCCTTGAATTTAAATTTAAAAGTTGCAGATTAACTTGAAACTTTTCTCTGCCTGTTTTTCCTGCAGTTTCTAAGGCGTCCTTCGGAGTCACCACACCAGGTATGACTGAGTTCACAAGCACAGGGTTTACATTTTAGTTATTTTTTTTAAAAAAGAGACTAATTGAATTTTTAGGAAAATCATCTGAGTCTCTGAGTATATCTGCTCTCTGTCTGTGTCTCCAGCTCCTGCAGGAACCCCTTCTCCAGAACATCTCTGCATCATTTCTCTGTCAGTTGCTGTGCTCGTTCTTGCCATCCTGAATTTGGTTCTCTGCTGCCTGTTCTGTCACTGCCACGGTAGGTCCTCGTCTGCTCACCTGGTAAACACCTGTAGGGAAAATGACCTGCACTAAATCCAGCAGTAATGTTGGTTCTGACGTTGTTTGCAAAGATTTGGGCGGTGAGGCCGGCGGCGCCGTCGGTTTCAGGAACCTGATGAACGTGAATCTGTGGTTGACAAAGTGGAAACAAAGATTGACCAAAGCTTGAAGAAGCACCGATTCTAAAATTCTGATTTATACATCACAGGTGATGTGGAATAAATATTAATCAGAAAGTCCAGTTTAACAATAAATAAAAACATTAAAACAAAAATAAACCAATTCTCACTTCATATTTATTCTCAATATAATTGCAACACCTAAAATATTGTAAAAATTTTATTACACTGTGTGTCACCATCATTGATGCCATAATTACCTGGTCCAGGAGAGGAGCAGAGTTCATGACGAGGTCAGCGGAGAGGTGACGTCACATGACCAGCAGCAGATCCAGCGCCATGCTAACGGTGGATCTGCCGTCATGATTGTCATGAGGGAAAACAGGAAACGCAATCGTCGGTTGAAAAGCCAAACTTCTTTTATTTAGCTGGAGCAGGAGGTAACAACATGAACTGCTTCCTCTGGATAGTTTCCTAGTGCTCCCCTAGTGGGCCGGAGACCAAACTACCGTTTCTCTAGATATGCAATAGAAACTAATCTCAGCTTTCCAAGGCTGTTTCTCAAGATCAGTTCTTGTCTCTACTTGTGTTCTCACGTCCTTGTGAAACGACAGCAGCTCAAGTTCTGTACGCATCCAGGCAAGAACGCTCAAACTACCTGGATGTGTTCTTGCTCCGCCCATTTTATGGAGGATGCATCGTTGCATCCTGCAAGCTTGAGCTAAGTTCACCTGCTGCAGCAACAGGAAGGGGACGGACGCTGTCAGTCTCTGACCTTGTGTGGAAATGGGACCATTGCACTCCAGAAGTGAAGCCTATATCATCCACGGTCTCCTGCTTTAATTTTCTTTTGAAATCTGATATATTTTCATCTTGAGGAAGGATTTTCTCTCTCAGCAGGTATTTGATCATCTCTCTTATTCACTTCAGTGCCGCTCACAGTTTTAACAGATTCTGTAGCTTCCTGTGTTCTTCTAAATCTGCTCCTCAGTCGCATCTTTCTGGCCTGATACTGCCTCTAGTGGTGTGGGGTGGTAGCACAACTAATCTAATTACATCAATCAATCTATTAAATTTTATTTGAATAGCACATTCCAGCAGCAAGACATTTCAAAGTGCTTTACATCATAAACACAAAGTCATATAATAAACAACACATTGTTACATATTACATTTCTAATAAAACTAATCAGCTGGTTTTTAGTTAAGATTTAAAGGAAGTCAGGGTTTCTGCTGTTTTACAGTTTTCTGGAAGTTTGTTCCAGATGTTTGGTGCATAGATGCTGAAAGCTGCTTCTCCTCTCTTGGTTCTGGTTCTGGATGCAGATCAGAACCAGAACCAGAACCTGAGAGTCTGGAAGGTTGATACAACAACAGCAGATCTTTAATGTATTGTGGTGCTAAACCGTTCAGTGATTTATAAACTAACAACAGTATTTTAAAATCTATTCTTTGAGCTACAGGGAGCCAGTGGAGGGACTTTAAAACTGCTGTTATGTCTCTATCTTCCTGGTTTTAGTGAGAACAGGAGCAGCAGCTGTTACTAGCGGCTGCTTTAGCAGAGGCCAACGGTCTGCATGGGGGTGCATTTATTTCAGTCATTCAAACATAAACTAATCTCAATTTAAAAAAATAAATTGTGCTCATAACTTCTGGAATTGTAATGATTTTTTCTTAAAAGTTTTGTTTAAAAAAAATCTAAAAAATAATAATTTAGATCAAAATGACTAATTTTGTCTCATGAAGTGAAAACAGTCATTTGTAAATCAAAGGAATTTGTGCTCGTCAGAAATTTTTGGTTGCAATTCTGTGGTTTTGATGCTTCCTCTTTTTGGTTAAACTCAGAGCTTTGCTGGAAACATGAACGTCGCGGGACGTTTAAGGGACACGTCTTTCAACACCAACGTGTCATGAAATGATGGGTGGAGGTGGCGAGGGGAGGATGGACCCAGGCTGGGTTCAAAAAGGGAGTTTTAATGAAGATCTAGTCTGGCAGAAGAAGAAACTGACAGGGAGACAAACCCTGAGACCAGGATCCGGCTGCAGCAGGAGACACAGGGACGAAACAAAACTAATCACCACAGAACCACGCAGGACATGTCCTATTGGCCAGCGCTCAGCCCCTCCGAACCAAACCGAGACCGAACAACAGAAATACGCCACAAATGCAGGCATCTCCATTCTCTCCAGTTCGGTTCCATCTGCTTCCATCTCCTGCATTTGGTGCAGCTCTGGAGTTTGGGGCCACCTGAAAAATGACAGTTTTGAAACAAATCCAATAAGTGTGAAATGAGTAGCTTTGGACTGGGTCAAAGTGTTGATAAGAACATGAATAATAAAACATTGTGTAACCCACAAGTTACTTTAAATACACTTAATAATAGCAAAAGACAGCCAATGTAATTTACTTCTCTGACCAGCACCAATGCTATGACAGTATATCTAAAAAGAAGTTGGGCCGAACAAAAGACTCTAAATTCTAAAGAGCCGAGGTGTGAATGACAACACTGGAGTGCACAAAGTGTTAACAAGGAAGAGTAAAATTTAATAATAAAACTATTGTGGATCCACATACAATTATATCAAAATAGCGCATGTTTTTGTTTTAAATAGAAAATAAAATAAATAACAGTCCTTTCGAGGTGTCAGTGGATCTATTGTTTTGTCCAGTCTGTTCCACTGTGTTAGTTGATCCTCAATATTTCCAAAGATAGTGACCAGTCGGGTCACTATCTAAAATCTCACTGGGTTCTTGGGGCTGGGGCTCGCCATCCAAATCCAGAAGTGGGTCTTGAATCTCAGGGCTCTCCAATCCAAAGGTGCACCGTAATAATAAAAAAAAAAAAACCTGACCAACAGTCTCCGCTGAGAACGCGTCCCTTAAACGTCCCGCGACGTTTATGTTTCTGTAACCAAGAATAAAATTCACTCGGGTTCAGAGAGCAGTTTACTATCAACCAGTTAGATTTATTACAAATTACTGGACTGAAACGCATTCAATCTCATCTTAACTCATTCTGAGTTTATCTCACAAATAAACAAAACAAACAACATTTACTCCAAACATGAGTGGAACACTCTCATGGTCCTTGGTAAAAGAAAAATAAAATAAGCTGGCCAGCAAAACAAAAAAAAGTTCATATAGAGCTCTATATGTGTGTGCTGCATACGCCAAAGATGGATGCCACAGGTGGTCCTGACTGGGATGGCGACCCAGAATGAAGATGGCGGTCGCCGTCCGCAGACACAGGAACTTCGCGGCCTCCCTCTCTTCCTCCACAGGAACACGAACATCTTCCTAATTGTTGTGTCTACCACTAGCAGGAAAACATGAGGCATAAAGGAATCAGGCGATGTGCAGAAGCTGGGCAGAGACCGGCACGTCTCAGTTCTGCAGCAGCTCTGAAACTTCTAAGCCCGGGAGTTGCCCTAGCAACTGCCGTCAGAATGCTGCCGTAAAGTACTGCCGTACTTTGCTCTTAAAGGGGCAGTACCCACAAAGTAAAAGCAATACAAACAAAACAAATAACACAAACTACCCAAATATAGCTGGGTTACATTTCCAGCAAAGCTCTGAGTTTAAAGAACTTTCAGAGAAAAAAAAACAAATTTACTAATTTCAATTGTATAATTTGAGAAACTATTCCAATTTTGTTTTTCTTACCGGTTCTCCAGATTTTATCATCTCTCTCAAGCTCTTCATGAAAACAACGATCAGCTGTTAGCTCTCAACTGTTAGCTCTGACGCGTTCTGAGTAGAATGACTGCGCAGTAGTGAAAGGGGCGGGACAATCAACCCCATTGGCTGATGTAATGTCAGACCACGCCAGCTATTGGTTGCCCAATTCATCAACAAAACAACCATTAAAGGCCTTTTTCACAGTTTTTAACGATGTTTTAGCACGTTGGGATATATCTTTCTAAGTAAAATAAAACACAAAATCTATTTATACTTTCCAATCTGGTGAAACAAACAACAACAAAAAATATTAAATTAACATCAATTTCCACTTGTGTTTTTAACACTGGGTTACACTTGCATCGTTTTTCTGATTCTTTATTTCCCAGTCGCTGATATTCCTGACTGGATTCAGTTTGTGGTCGACAGTCACGTGATTTCCTATCCAGGTAAAATCATGATGATGCTATTAATGCAAACTGTCCCTCATTGCAGAACCAAGGGGCTTCATTAACACCTCATTCAGAACCAGACTGGATCAGCCTCCACAACCCAGAACCTGAAACCCGCCTGTCGCCGCCTGGCGGCCGCAGAGCAGGGTCCCAGGGAAATCCCGGAGATCAGAGACGGTACCGAAGGCATCTTGCAAAAAGCTTCACTTGTTGCTAGGAAACCGAACCTCTGCGTTACTTTTCTTACCAGCTTCCGGTGTAACTGTTGACACAAAGGCAGCTTAACGGCAACAAAAGAGCGAGGAGAAGTTGGAGCTAAAATGTTTGGTGTTGCTCGCAGCCCGTTTTCTAGAAGCACACGGTATGGCGGAGATGTTAGGAAGTGATTAATTTCATGCTAACATGTTATTGTTGAAGCAGCAACTTAACGGCTGCTCACGGTGTTTAGCTTCTCACGGTGAAACCGGCGATTATCGGCACGATTCCGATTCCAAGTTACAATATTGATCCCAGAGACATTGAATATTCATCCTCAGTGTTGTGGCGACTTCATTCTGCTGCCAATGATTCTATTGTCATGTCCAGCTGTTTCTGAGAGCAGAAGAAGAGACTTGGAGCCCCGGATGTTTCACTTCCTGCTGCGATGCAGAGTTCAGTCTGACAAGAAGAAGAAGAAGAAGAGGTTGATGTGGAGGAGCATCTCCTGGCTGTGACAGCAAAATGAAGCTGCTTCAGCTGCTCTGCTTCCTCCAGCTGAGCTGGCTCTGTCCAGGTAAAGCTCACATCACCTGCTGAGAGGAGGCAGCAGGACTGCAGCTGCTATCTGCAACATCCACAGCTTCTGTTTTATTCAGGCTCAAATTTCCTCCCAATATCTTATTTCTGTCCAGGTTTGGTGGAGAGAACGAAAATAAAGATATTTATCTGATAGTTTCCCTCCGACCACAAACTGAACCCTGAAGCTCAGCGTGTTGCTCCTGATTGAAATGTTCTGGGTGTTTCTGGAGCTCATGCTGCTCTGAAATGAAAAACAAATCTCCCTTTTTATTGTTTCAGTTCTTCTTGATGTTTTCACTCCAGACCCTCTGACAACAGAGACGCCTGAAGAGTTTGACTGTGAGTAAAACTTTGGAGGGCAGCTTTTCCACCGGACGTCTGCTGCCCTGGTTCCAGTGGCTGATGTCAGTCATGTGAATCATCTGAATCATGTGAATCATCTGAATCACGTGAATCATGTAAATCACATAAATCATCTGAATCATCTGAATCATGTGAATCAGGTGAATCACATGAATCATGTGAATCATGTGAAGCATGTGAATCAGGTGGATCGTGTGAATCATGTCAGTTATGTGAATCATGTAAATCACATGAATCATATGAATCATGTGAATAATGTGAATCATCTGAATCATGGGAATCAGGTGAATCGTGTGAATCAGGTGAATAATGTGAATTAGGTGAGTCATGTGAATCATGTGAATCATCTAAATAATGTGAATCAGGTGAATCATGTGAATTAGGTGAGTCATGTGAATCATCTAAATCATGTGAATCATTTGAATCATGTGAATCGTGAATCATCAGAATCATGTGAATCAGGTGAATCAGTTGAATCACATGAATCAGGTGAATCGTGTGAATCATGTGAATCAGGTGAATCGTGTGAATCAGGTGAATAATGTGAATCAGTTGAATCACATGAATCATGTGAATCATCTGAATCATGTGAATCAGGTGAATCGTGTGAATCAGGTGAATAATGTGAATCAGGTGAATAATGTGAATCATGTGAATCATGTGAATCATGTGAATCATGTGAATCATGTGAATCATGTCAGTCATGTGAATCATGTGAATCACATGAATCATGTGAATCATGTGAATCACATGATTCATGTGTTTTCAGGGTGGATTTTACTACAGACTCTTCGGGCCAGACTCAGACCTTTTCTGATAAAAAGTTGTGTGAGGATGACGAGGCTTTTGACTGTATTTTGCAGAGCTGCAATGCATTTTTTGCATTAAACGTGATCAATAGGATGTTAGCATTCACAAAAATGACAACATTAAATAGCAGTATGCATGCATGATGGATGGGTTATAGGTACATTTTCTGTTGAATGTATATCAGAAGGCTGAGGTTGCCAGGTGACGATACTTTTCTTTTCCAAGTGAGAGCAGAAAATGATTCAAAGCAAAGAATCGGAGATTTAATCCCAGCAGAGAGAAGTTTTGAGCGGAAAGAGAAAAGTTTGAGAGCAGAGTGAATATTTTAGAGCAGAAGCTTTGAGATGAAATCCTGCTTTCAGACTGAAAATGTGTGCTCTCGAATTATGGCAGAAAAATCCCCCATACGCTTCCCAGTTCATAAAGGTTTTGCATCAATCCATCGTGTTGAATCATCACACTTCTGTAAAGTAGCCGTGTGGAGGATGTCGTCCATCGCCGTTCCCATTGTTGCTGTGGCGACGCCATAACTCACTGATCAATACGTTCAGTGTTTTTAAATAAAAAATTAACATTAATAACTTAGTTTATTAGCCTGTCATAGAAAAACAGTATAAATTTACAAAGTCATTTTTTCACCATGTTAGTGAAACATTTATACATGTCAGAGTTCTAAATATTTAGTTTACAAGCTTTTCTGCTGCTTTCAATAATTCAATTAAAATTCTTCTCGAAAATAAAAAGCTGTTTATCCTGCTACGCTGATGACGCTCTGCTCTGTGTGTCTAAAATCCTTCAGGCTGCTGCAGATTCTGCTCCACATTTGCTCCTCAGTGGTTGATGGTTGAGTATTTTCTCAGTTTTCATCCTGCTCCTCATCCTCTGCTCTGTGACCCTCTGTGCCCTCAGACGACCCTTACGTTCATCACCTCGGCAGCACATGCAGGTGGACTTTCAGGTTGCCTGGAAACAGGAGTGGGGAGGCGGTTCCACTCCCACCGGATTTTTCAGAGACTTTGTCTGACCAGATCTGCCAGGACCTTAAATGTGGAAAAGTTTATACTGTGAATAAAACCACGCCGCCTCCCAACACCAAGTGCTACAAGCAGTGTCTTTTCCGGGATTGGCGTCTGCAGAAGTGCCTGCAGGTGGAGATGGCAGACTGCATCGTGGCCACAGAAGTGGTCTGTGGTGAGACTTTCCTCATTCTTCACACAAAATATGAATTTGTTTGAAATGATATTAAAATGAGGAAGATTGGGATGCTGAGGTGGTGCAGGGGTAAAGCACCACCCACCACAGGTTCAAGTCCCGGCCTGATTTCCTTTAGTGCTTGTCTTCCTCCTCTCTCAGTTCCCACTTTCTAATAAAGGCTGCAAAACCTTTAAACCTTCAAAGGTTTAAAGGTCCAATCTCTGGTCCTGGAGGCCTGCTGTCCTGTGAAGTTCCGCTGAGCCTCTGCAGCATCGGGACAGAATAACGAACCATTAAGGTTCTGGAGAACCGGTCCACACCAGGCCGTTTCGTTCCAGTGTTTTGTACCTGTGGCTCATGGAAAACCTGCAGGACTGGAGTTTGACACCCTGCTTTGAAGGGATCCATAATTACTTGCAACACTAGATTTGATTGTAGATGTAAAAGCAACACAGTGAGAATAGAATGCTCAGTTTTTATAAATGTTAATAAAATATTGTCACAGGAATGTCGCCATCTGCATTCTGGGTAAATGACGTGTGACGGTCCGACTGCCTGGCTCCTCCAGTGATGAGTAACGTTATCAAGCCTTTTTAATTTGGACCGGAACCTTGAAACCGATCAGAACTGGGAATAACAGGAGGTGATGAGGAGCAAACAGGAAGAGGAAGAGCTGGCTGTAGCAGCTGCTGCCTTCAGCTTCATGATGAAACGATGAAAGAGACTCACCTCCTGTCACTGTATACCTGGTTCTGGAGCTCTGAGTCCGGTCTCCTGGTCTGGCCTTGGTCTGGGGCAGCAGTAGTGCCGCCGCTACTGCTACCTTAGAGCACCGTTAGCTTCCAACACTGTCAGTCTGATGTTCCTCCCAGCGTTTTCGCGCAGTGGAGTTTAGGCTCTTTGTGGACGAAAACTGCCAGCACGGCATTTATTTTTAGCTCATTATGGTAATCACTTCTTGGAGCCTTTGTCAGTTTTGCTTGTACAAAATGTCTCAGAGACTTCTGGAGAAAAATGTGGAGGACCTAAATGTAGATCCTGCAGAAGTTGTGTTTGGATTCGGTGTTGTGTCAGAAGAGCATGCGCTGTCAGACTGTGCTCCTCTTTTTTCCTGTGGGAAGCATCCAGATTCACTTTTATTTATTTTTATTTTTTTTTACAGCCAACAGTGACACCAGGTGGCATTATTCTAAATTACACTGGTCCAACGCAACATGACAAACTGTGTGAAGTGAGCCTTCCTGTGTTTACTCTGCACACACAGGAAGGCTCTGCAGAATGGAGCAAACGCATCATCCATTGGTGAAAACAAGGTGAAAGTCCTGCATGAAAAATAGAACAAAACATGCACATTTTTCAAGCAATTATGAGTTTTGGTGTATCACAAACTGCAATTTGATTAGTTAGTGGGAAAATTAACTGCATGACGGAGTGTTTGAAGGTGGAGCAGTGCTTTCTGCAGCCATGAGCCTCTGGAACCACCTGCAGATGTCCTGGACCGAGTCCACAGGACCAACTGGTCCTCATCATGTTGATGCTGGTTTGACACCAATGGAAGCAAAATCCAGTATTGTCAGTCAGGACTCTATGTGGCGCTTTAAATGTCAGCAGTGGGACCAGACCTCTACCAGAATCAGAACGTGTTGATCTTTCATTGTCTTTACAAACGTCTCCGTCTCATGATGAGTCGTCCAAACAGGCGCTGATACATCCTCAGGACAGATTTCACTCAACGTGACTCATTAAAGGAATAATTAATGAAATTGTTAGCATGTTTTCATGGTCATTTTGTCTTCAGGTCATCACTCTGTCCGGCTGAAGGGACATGGGGACCAGTGTGCTGGGCGGGTGGAGGTATGGAAGGACGGGACGTGGGGCACGGTGTGTGACGACAGATTTGACCTGAATAATGGCGACGTGGTTTGCGACCAGCTGGACTGTGGCATCGCTCTCAGGGTGACGGGTCAGAACGGATTGTTCCCTCCAGGGAGCGGACCGATCCACCTAGAAGAGCTGAACTGCACCGGGAACGAGCAGAACCTGTGGTTCTGTCCGGGTGTCCAGGAAAACTCTAAATGCGGACACAAAGAGGATGCTGGTGTGGTGTGTTCAGGTCAGTTTGCATCAAACATCTGGTCTGTTCCTGCTAATGTCCACGTTTTGCACAAGCTGCTCTTCTTTATTTGTAGGAGCTGCAAACATTTGAAATGTTTTCCTCAAAAATGAATGAAAAGTAAAGATACAAAAATATCAGAATTCCTCAAAGTTATTTCATTTCCTTTCCCTGTCCATCCAAACATCAACCGGTCCGATCATCCTGCCTTCCTTTCTCCACTGTTTCATCCTCACCAGCAGTTTCTCTGTTAGCTTCATGTAATATCCAATCTGAATCCTAAACATTGTTTCAATCTTTTCCTGTTTTCCCTGCAGATTCGAAGGCGTTTTTTGGAGGAACCACAGAAGGTGTGACTGAGTTGATGACCACAGTGTGAATCTACATTAAAAAAAAGACAAATCAATAGTTTTAGGAATGTGAGCTGATTGTGTAAATCTTAATATATTTGATGTTTGTCCATTGCTGCCAGGTCCGCGTTTCATTCGTCCTGCAGGCGGTCTGACTTCGCAGCATTTCAGCATCATCTTTCTGTGTATTGGGCTCCTTGTTCTCGTTGGGCTGAGCTTGGCTTTCTGCCGCGTTTACTGTCATTGGCACGGTACGTCCTGCTGTCCTCATCTGTACGACCAAAGGTCAACCTGCACTAATCCAGCAGTAAAGTTGCTTTTAACATCAATAGCAAAGTTGAGATCGGTGAGGACAACGGAGCAGACGGTTTGAGCAACCTGACGGTTGGAGCAACCTGACGGTTGGAGCAACCTGACGGTTTGAGCAACCTGACGGTTTGAGCAACCTGTGGACGATGAGGAGGAGACGATGAAGACCCAAACCTTGAAGACGTGACGACTCTAAAATGCAGAGTATTGTTGAAGGTCACTAGTTATTAAACGTAAAATAAATATTTATCATAAACGCTAATTAAAAAATAAAAACTATGAAATGAAAATAAACCATTTCTCACTTGATATTTGTTATAAATGTAGTAAAATGAGTTTTGGTCTGTAGGTCGTCGGCATCGCCTCGTCTGCTGATCTGCTCAGCATCTGGTTTCTGATTTGCTGACGGCTTTGATTGCTGCTGGAGCAGAAGATCAATCCCACAATCCACTGCGTCTCCCACTTCCAGCAGCAGGAAGAGGAGGAGCGTCAGACGGAAACGCCTCAGGATCTGCTGCTTTCTGAAGCCACGCGTCTGGAGAGGACCGCAGCGCTTCCTCACTTTCACTGCATGCCTCCTCTGCACAACAACAACCCGAAGCCAGACGGTCCGACAGATAATCAGAAAATGGAAATGAAGAACGATATCCAGGGAAAACCGACAACTGGCAAGAAACCAGACTTTGTCGCATGAAAAGGAAAACTGGGGTGAAAATTCTCAAGGCCTTCAGAAAGAAGTTAAATCTCAACAGGAAATCTGCCTCCAATTTTCCTAAATACCACAGATGAAGATCTAACAAGATCTCATGATTACTTCTTGGATAGATTTCAGTTTCAAAGCAACATTCATTGTTTCTGAATCTGTTGCTTTCATTCCTCCATCTTCATCACTTTTCACTGCATTTCTTCTTTTGTCAGGAAAGTGAAGTTTGTTTCTCCTGATGAAGTTAAAGCTTCATTTTGATGTTTTGCAGGATAAATAAAAGTTTCCATTTTGGTCATTGGGATCCTACCAAACAGTTCACTCTCTGGAACCAGTAGTTTCATATCAGTGTACATTTGTGGAAGTTAATTTCAACATTTAGTTTGGCACTGCTTCAGTTCCCACCCTGCAGTCTGACCTTCCTGTTGCGTAACGATGATGGTGGTGGGAGGGCGTGGCTCTGGATCACGTGGTGTTGGTAGTGCTCCAGAGCATCCACAATCACATCCGTGATCCACAATCACAGATGTGATTGTGGATCAATCCCACAATCCACTGCGTCTCCCACAATCACACTGCGATCCACAATCACATCTGTGATTGTGGATCACGGATGTGATTGTGGATGCTCACCTGATGACGTCAGTGACTGGGTGATGGAGGAAGTCTGGCCACATATCAATACCACATATTCACTGAATCAAAGACTTCTGGAAATCCAGAACAAGACAAAACCACCATGGTTAATTAACTGGGGAGGCTCAACCAGATCCAGAACCAGTTAGTATTAGTTCATCTACCGTTCAGAAGAGCAGATTCAACTAAAATATATCTGATAAATGTACTTTTAATGGAACTGCTAGAACTTTAGTGAACATTTTACCATCTATCCTGAGAGTCTGATTGGTCTGGGATTATTCAGATCATTTCATGTATCCAGGTTTTAGTATTATTGCAATGACATCCTGCTCCATATCGTCAGGTTCTGTTTGCTTAACGCGTCCCAAAGCTGCACCAAACAACATTTCTGTTTTCTCCAAACAATCATACCAGCTATAATCCAAATGTAGCATCAGGGGCTCCATCTGATGCTACACTTTTCAAAACAGAGTCAAATTGTTCGACACGGAAATTTTCTTCACAAATGTTTCCAAGTGTTTTATCAGAGGTGGGAATAACATTTCTGATTTGTTTAGGTTTGATGCTTTTATTGTGAAAGGTAAACTTCCGGTGTAACTGTTGACACAAAGGCAGCTTAACGGCAACAAAAGAGCGAGGAGAAGTTGGAGCTAAAATGTTTGGTGTTGCTCGCAGCCCGTTTTCTAGAAGCACACGGTATGGCGGAGATGTTAGGAAGTGATTAATTTCATGCTAACATGTTATTGTTGAAGCAGCAACTTAACGGCTGCTCACGGTGTTTAGCTTCTCACGGTGAAACCGGCGATTATCGGCACGATTCCGATTCCAAGTTACAATATTGATCCCAGAGACATTGAATATTCATCCTCAGTGTTGTGGCGACTTCATTCTGCTGCCAATGATTCTATTGTCATGTCCAGCTGTTTCTGAGAGCAGAAGAAGAGACTTGGAGCCCCGGATGTTTCACTTCCTGCTGCGATGCAGAGTTCAGTCTGACAAGAAGAAGAAGAAGAAGAGGTTGATGTGGAGGAGCATCTCCTGGCTGTGACAGCAAAATGAAGCTGCTTCAGCTGCTCTGCTTCCTCCAGCTGAGCTGGCTCTGTCCAGGTAAAGCTCACATCACCTGCTGAGAGGAGGCAGCAGGACTGCAGCTGCTATCTGCAACATCCACATCTTACTTTGAGCTTCTGTTTTATTCAGGCTCAAATTTCCTCCCAATATCTATTTCTGTCCAGGTTTGGTGGAGAGAACGAAAATAAAGATATTTATCTGATAGTTTCCCTCCGACCACAAACTGAACCCTGAAGCTCAGCGTGTTGCTCCTGATTGAAATGTTCTGGGTGTTTCTGGAGCTCATGCTGCTCTGAAATGAAAAACAAATCTCCCTTTTTATTGTTTCAGTTCTTCTTGATGTTTTCACTCCAGACCCTCTGACAACAGAGACGCCTGAAGAGTTTGACTGTGAGTAAAACTTTGGAGGGCAGCTTTTCCACCGGACGTCTGCTGCCCTGGTTCCAGTGGCTGATGTCAGTCATTTGAATCATGTGAATCATGTGAATCAGGTGAATCACATGAATCATGTGAATCATCTGAATCATGTGAATCAGGTGAAGCATCTCAGTCATGTGAATCATGTGAAGCATGTGAATCAGGTGGATCGTGTGAATCATGTGAATCATGTAAATCACATGAATCATATGAATCATGTGAATAATGTGAATCATGTGAATCGTGTGAATCATGTCAGTTATGTGAATCACGTGAATCATGTAAATCACATGAATAATGTGAATCACGTGAATCAGGTGAATCACAAGAATCATGTGAATCATCTGAATCATGTGAATCAGGTGAATCGTGTGAATCAGGTGAATCGTGTGAATCAGGTGAATAATGTGAATCAGGTGAATAATGTGAATCATGTGAATCATGTCAGTCATGTGAATCATGTCAGTCATGTGAATCATCTGAATCATATGAATCATGTCAGTCATGTGAATTATGTGAATTATGTGAATCGTGAATCATCTGAATTATGTGAATCAGGTGAATCATGTGAATCGTGAATCATGTGAATCATGTGAATCATGTGAATCAGGTGAATCATCTGAATCATGTGAATCATCTGAATCATGTGAATCAGGTGAATCATGTGAATCGTGAATCATCTGAATCATGTGAATCAGGTGAATCATCTGAATCATGTGAATCATCTGAATCAGGTGAATCAGGTGAATCATCTGAATCAGGTGAATCATCTGAATCAGGTGAATCATCTGAATCATGTGAATCAGGTGAGTCATGTGAATCAGGTGAATCATGTGAATCATGTGAATCAGGTGAATCATCTGAATCATGTGAATCATCTGAATCAGGTGAATCATGTGAATCAGGTGAATAATGTGAATCAGGTGAATCATCTGAATCATGTGAATCATCTGAATCAGGTGAATCATGTGAATCAGGTGAATAATGTGAATCAGGTGAATCATCTGAATCATGTGAATCATCTGAATAAGGTGAATAAGGTGAGTCATGTGAATCAGGTGAATCATGTGAATCATCTGAATCATGTGAATCAGGTGAATCATCTGAATCATGTGAATCATCTGAATCATGTGAATCAGGTGAATAATGTGAATCATGTCAGTCATGTGAATCATGTGAATCATCTGAATCATATGAATCATGTCAGTCATGTGAATTATGTGAATCGTGAATCATGTGAATCAGGTGAATCATGTGAATCGTGAATCATCTGAATCATGTGAATCCGGTGAATCATCTGAATCATGTGAATCATCTGAATCATGTGAATCAGGTGAATCATCTGAATCATGGGAATCATCTGAATCATGTGAATCAGGTGAATCATGTGAATCGTGAATCATCTGAATCATGTGAATCCGGTGAATCATCTGAATCATGTGAATCATCTGAATCATGTGAATCAGGTGAATCATCTGAATCATGGGAATCATCTGAATCATGTGAATCAGGTGAATCAGGTGAGTCATGTGAATCAGGTGAATCATCTGAATCATCTGAATCATGTGAATCAGGTGAGTCATGTGAATCAGGCGAATCGTGAATCATCTGAATCATGTGAATCAGGTGAATCATCTGAATCATGTGAATCATCTGAATCATGTGAATCAGGTGAATCAGGTGAGTCATGTGAATCAGGTGAATCATGTGAATCATCTGAATCATGTGAATCAGGTGAATCATCTGAATCATGTGAATCATCTGAATCAGGTGAATCATGTGAATCAGGTGAATAATGTGAATCATGTGAATCAGGTGAATCATCTGAATCATGTGAATCAGGTGAATCATCTGAATCATGTGAATCATCTGAATCAGGTGAGTCATGTGAATCAGGTGAATCATGTGAATCATCTGAATCATGTGAATCAGGTGAATCATCTGAATCATGTGAATCAGGTGAATCATCTGAATCAGGTGAATCATCTGAATCAGGTGAATCAGGTGAGTCATGTGAATCAGGTGAATCATGTGAATCAGGTGAAACAGTTGAATCATGTGAATCAGGTGAGTCATGTGAATCGTGAATCAGGTGAATCATGTGAATCAGGTGAGTCAGGGGAATCGTGTGAATCATGCGAATCAGGTGCATCGTGTGAATCATGTGAATCATGTCAGTCATGTGAATAATGTGAATCATGTGAATCAGGTGCATCATGTGAATCAGGTGAATCATGTGAATCATGTGAATCAGTTGAATCGTGTGAATCAGGTGAATAATGTGAATCATGTGAATCAGGTGAATCATGTGAATCAGGTTAGTCATGTGAATCAGGTGAATCATCTGAATCATGTGAATCAGGTGAATCAGGTGAATCGTGTTAATCAGGTGAATAATGTGAATCAGGTGAGTCATGTGAATCAGGTGAATCATGTAAATAATGTGAATCAGGTGAGTCATGTGAATCAGGTGAATTGTGTGAATCATGTGAATCATCTGAATCATGTGAATCAGGTGAATCATCTGAATCATGTGAATCATCTGAATCAGGTGAATCATGTGAATCAGGTGAATAATGTGAATCATGTGAATCAGGTGAATCATCTGAATCATGTGAATCAGGTGAATCATCTGAATCATGTGAATCATCTGAATCAGGTGAGTCATGTGAATCAGGTGAATCATGTGAATCATCTGAATCATGTGAATCAGGTGAATCATCTGAATCATGTGAATCAGGTGAATCATCTGAATCAGGTGAATCATCTGAATCAGGTGAATCATGTGAATCAGGTGAAACAGTTGAATCATGTGAATCAGGAGAGTCATGTGAATCGTGAATCAGGTGAATCATGTGAATCAGGTGAGTCAGGGGAATCGTGTGAATCATGCGAATCAGGTGCATCGTGTGAATCATGTGAATCATGTCAGTCATGTGAATAATGTGAATCATGTGAATCAGGTGCATCATGTGAATCAGGTGAATCATGTGAATCAGGTGAATCAGTTGAATCGTGTGAATCAGGTGAATAATGTGAATCATGTGAATCAGGTGAATCATGTGAATCAGGTTAGTCATGTGAATCAGGTGAATCATCTGAATCATGTGAATCAGGTGAATCAGGTGAATCGTGTTAACCAGGTGAATAATGTGAATCAGG